GAAAATATAAATGATTATTATGTACATATTATATTATGTGTTTTTATATTCTCTAAATAACTGTCCAATTCATTAGATTTCGTGGTCCAATTGACCAAATAACATCTTTCAATTAATTATTCTTTTTATGTAAGGTCCTGGTTGAGATAAAAAAGTCAGTGTCACGAGCGGGATTCGAATTTCATTTCAACCAAAACATTCCATAAAAAGATTAATTAATTGAAAGAAGTGATTTGGTCAATTGACCGCTAAACATAATGGGATCATTTAAGACAAAACAATACATTTGAAAATTCCAATTCATAGAACTAAAACATATTCCAACTCTAGCCGCAGGTCATGGGTTCGAATCCCGCTTGTGACTTACTTTTTTATCTCAAACTCTACAAAAACTGCTCCCAGAAGAATTATTACTAGGAATATTCACTAGTTCCGTGGTCCACTTGACCAATTAATATATTACAATTAATTAATGTTTTCAGTTGAGATAAAAAAGTAAATGGCACGAGCTGGATTCGAACCCACCATCTTCGGCTTGATACGGATCGAGGTCATGATAGCTCAAGTGGTAGACCAGCGGCGTATCAAGCCGAAGATGGTGGGTTCGAATCCTGCTTGTGACACTTACTTTTTTATCTCAAACCCTACAAAAACTGCTCCCAGAAGAATTATTTCTAGGAATATAGTTTCGCTTGACCAATTAATATATTACAATTAATTAAGGTTTTTAGTTGAGATAAAAAAGTCAATGGCACGAGCGGGATTCGAACCCACGATGTTCGGCTTAATACGCCGCTGCTCTACCACTTGAGCTATCGTGACCTCGATCCATTGGAACACTAACTTCCCATCTCAACCCTCAAAACTCAAAAAGGTGGTGTTGAGATGGGAAGTTAGTGTCTGAGTGGATCGAGGTCACGATAGCTCAAGTGGTAGAGAAGCGGCGTACCAAGCCGAAGATCGTGGGTTCGAATCCCACTCGTGCCATTGACTTTTTAATCTCAACTGAAAACCTTAATTAATTGTAATATTACTAGGAATATTATAAAACATCTTTATGCTGGTAATTAAGAAAGAGTTGGAATATGTTTTATTTCTATAAATTGGAATTTCAAATATATTGTTTTGTCTTAAATTTAATCCATTAAATTTAGTAGTCTATTGACCAAATTACTTCTTTCAATTAATTAATCTTTTTATTTATTTGTTTATTTACGGATCGAAATCCACTGTAAAAAGACATTTTACAATAACAATAAATAATATACAAAATAATATACGCAAAAATACAAATAATATAAAAAGAATAAGGACATATATACGTGGTAATATTATAAATGGTAAATATAAATGATAAATATGAAAATACAATTAAAGAGTAGAAAATGAACAACAATAAAAATGAAAGACATAATTACTAACCAAATTAAGACAAAGGAAACAAAATAAAGCTGAAAGACAATTGAAACTACAATATTTAGGATGACATTACATGTGCGGATTTAAGCCTATATACATCCAAATCCAATCCAAAAAATAGTACTTTTATACAGTATTGTAAATGTACTAAAAAGTATTTGAACATAATTTATTTTAAAAGCACTATTGATAGTTTTTTTTGTAATATAATGGTAAGTTGAGTTTTGTGTGAATGTCTGCTATAATTATATAAAATTTTTATTTACTTGAGTGTTTGTTGTAGTGTTTAATTGTTTTTAATTCAAAGTATTTAACCAACGGTTAAATTGGTTGAAAATGGTAAAAATAGGAGGGAAATAGTGAGAGGGGGAGAACGGGACTTGTGAGTTAAGAAGGCTCGATTTTCATCCACTACCGTACTCGCTTCGGCGGTACATATACTAAAATTGGAACGATACAGAGAAGATTAGCATGGCCCCTGCGCAAGGATGACACGCAAAATCGTGAAGCGTTCCACATTTTTTTGTACCGGAACATCGCCGACTGATGATTTTTCCAGCAGTCGGCAGCATATTTTTCATTTTTCCGGGCTGGAAACCGATTTTCCGGCCCGGCCGACGCTCCGGACTGGGGCGGTCGGGTTCGAATCTGGTCACGGGCAAACATTTTTTTTCCACCGAAATTGTTTTTTGAGGATATTTACTGAATTTTAGTAATAATAATAAAATTATACAATTTGTTAATAATAGTTACACAAAAAATAATTTTTTAGAGACAAATTTTAATCAAGAAACTATAGCGTAATGTAAATTAGCACGTTGTANTGTTTTTTTTTAATATGCACCTAAATTTTTAATTAACAAAGTTTATAAATTACAATTCTTTCCGTTATCATGTCCATTTATGTATTTTCTTATTTAAAATATACTGGTTTTTTTTCAGTTTGCGTTTTCGTTTCTTTAATTTTTTTAAATTTATTTCTTGCATTTTATGTTATAAACGACGTATTAATTATTTAATTAATTATACTTTTATTCTAAGGTCTTGTTTGATATGAAAAAGCAAGTGCCACGAACGGGATTCGAACACACTTCCAAGGCCGAAGGTCGTGGGTTCGAATCCCGCTCGAGACACTTGCTTTTTCATTTCAACCAATAACTTACATAATGATTATATTAAAAACTTCGTTAAGTTATCTCATGTTAAGTTATCAACAACATAGATTAAAAGTACATTTAATTAAAAAATATAATGTGATGGAGCTACGGTTTAAAGAAATAGATTCAGAATTACTATTTAGCAAATTTCACGATGTTTGTGCAGTTATTTTGTATGTAAGTTGACAATTTTTAGAACAAAAGTGGACTTATCTAAAAGGAAATTCGGTGCTAAATCATAAAAATGGGGTCAAAAATTAGCAAACGTTATGTTCAAGTTACTTCATAATATCAAGAGTGGAGAACATTCAGGTTTTATCTAAAGAAACCTTTTTTTAATAAACACTAAAAAAATCTTAATTTTTGAACGGATTGATATAAAAAGGTGAGGTTTACGGCATTCTACTCCAATTTATATGTACTCTCAGAAAAACATTTTTTTTTTTAACACGACGAGTTGATAGTCCTGTATTAATATTAAAATATATAAAATTATTAATAATATATTGGGGCAATAAATTCATGTCATTTTTAATTTCCTTAATTAAAGGGATGAAAAGTTAGCAAACATAAGGTTAGAGTGGAGAAAATTTAGGTTTTATGTAAAGAAACGTGTTTTTTCCTTCTTTTTTTTTAACACGAGTTGACAACCCCCCTATTAATATTAAAATTTGTAAAATTATTATAATATATTGGGGTAATAAATTCATGTCATTTTTAATTTTCTTCTTAATTAAAGGATTTATTTCTTTAATATGCACCTAAATTTTTAATTAACAAAGTTTATAAATTACAATTCTTTCCGTTATCATGTCCATTTATGTATTTTCTTATTTAAAATATACTGATTTTTCAGTTTGCGTTTTCGTTTCTTTAATTTTTTAAAATTTATTTCTTGCATTTTATGGTATAAATGACGTATTAATTATTTTAATTAATTATACTTTTATTCTAAGGTCTTGTGTGATATGAAAGAGCAAGTGCCACGAGCGGGATTCGAACACACTTCCAAGGCCGAAATCGTGGGTTCGAATCCCGCTCGTGACACTTGCTTTTTCATTTGCAACAACAACGTAGATTAAAAGTACAATTAATTAAAAAATATAATATGATGGAGCTACGGTTTAAAGAAATTGATCCAGAATTAACATTTCGCTAATTTCACTATGTTTGTGCAGTTATTTTGTATGAGGCTGACAGTTTTTAGAACAAAACCGTACTAATCTGAAAAATGGGTTGAAAAGTTAGCAAACGTAAGGTTAGAGTGGCGAAAATTCATGTTTTATGTAAAGAAACGTGTTCTTTCCTTTTTTAATTTTTTTTTAACACAAGTTGACAGCCCCCGTATTAATATTAAAATTTGTAAAATTATTATAATATATTATGGCAATAAATTCATGTAATACCTGAATTGCTTATTTCTTTATTTTTTAAAACAGTTATTTCATTAATATGCACCTAAATATTTAATTTTTAAACTTGATAACACACAATTCTTTTCGTTATCATGTACATTTTTGTATTTTTTTTTATTTTAAAAATATTGATGTTTTAGTTAGGGTTTTCGTTTCTTTAAATTTTTTGTTTATTTAATTTTATTTTTTTACATTTATAATTATTTTATTAATACGTGTTTTTTATTTTTCAATTTCACATTAAATTTTCAGCTTTTAAATGAATCGTTAGTTTGAAATTTTATTTGTCTTTTCTCTTCGATTATTGTTAGTTTGGATTATATACACGGTTTTTTGTTAGTGAGTTATTTTTTGTGTTTGGAGTAATTTTATATGTTTTCTGCTTGAGTGCATACTTTTTTTTTGCTTTGTGTTATTGTGTTTGTTTTTTGTGGTTGTACGCGAGTAAAATTTTGTTCGTTTGTTTGCACTTGTGTACATGTATCCATGTGTGTGTTTACTTGTTTGTATGTTTATTTATGTTGCAACCGACATTTTATATTGCACTGTTCTTACTGTAACTTGTTTTTTTATAATAAATTTATATTTTTTTATAGGTATACATATTCTGCATGTATTTTTTTGGAAATATTTTCTTCTTGTTTTGGTCTTAACTGGTCAGTTTGAAGAAAAGGTTGGGGAGAATTTTCAGCACTTGCTTCACGATTGATAGTTATGACTGTGGGTATGGCATGCAGGCTGTCTTGAGCAAAAATGTCCTCCCTCGTAATCCTTTCTTGCTCAAACTTTATTTATTTGTGAATAACGTTTTGAGAAACGGCTGTTTATAGAAAATAAGTGGCCGGTTTTGTGAGGAGGAAGGGAGGACGGAGTACAAAATGGAGCTGGCACCACGATATGATCTTCGGTGGCCATGTTATTGCCCCAGGGCCACTCCTTTTTTTTTCGAAACGTCCAATCTCGAAAATCCATCTGACGGATTAACGACGAAGTCGGACATTCTGTATTAGCAAGGATTAAAAAACACAAAAACCATGTGCAAAGTCAGACCAAATGTTGGTGGTTTTCTTCAGATTTTTTACCTTTTGTTTTTATTATTCCGTCATGTTTCATTATTTTGATAAACATACGTTTTATAGGTTTTAGGAAGGCAAAGAGAGACAAATTTAAATAAATGTCGCTGCTTGAAGGTGATGCCATCATGGCGTGGGCGACTTCTCTCGAAGGTCGTCAGTGCGCGATTCGACCGATTTAAAACATATGAGTTATAAAAATAATTCGTTACCAAAGACAAAAGAAGAGGATTTTGACCTAGAATCAGGCTTTTATAGTCGAAGAGTGGAGAAAAAATTTCATATATATTTGTTTTCGTGGGCCCGGCGTGAAACCGAACAGCTGTGTTCACCAGTTTAGTCGGTTTTTCGCCTCGGAACTGAAAAACGAGTGAAAAGTTTAAATGTGATAACTTGTTTTATTGTTTGAAAAAAAAAGACCTCGGACTTGTGAGGATGGGGCGTGCCGGATGGAACTGCCTTGGAAAATAGAGACAGAGGAAAATGTACTATTTCGAGGGTAACTACAGGGTGACGCCGGAGCAGAATTTTGCCGGTGCGAGCCGGCAGAGCAGGAAAACGGAACTGATCGACAGGGCGCAGGCGGAGAGAAGGAAAAGGGAAGAAGAAAGGGCGAGGTCGAGATCTGCGGTGGTTTTGCAGTCATTGGTACGTGGATTCTTGGCGAGGAGGAGGATCCGGAACGTCCTGATTGAGGAGTTCGATAGGTATAGACTCGAGGGAGTGGACACTGAGGATTTGGCCTTCCTGATCAGAAGAATCCCGTTCCTCGAGTGGTCGCCGGCCCGTCTGCTCAGCGCGTCCCGGATGGTCCTGGAGCACAAGGAAGCCGTCCTCGCTTCCGAAGACCCCCTCTGGGCCTGGAGGCTCCGAATGCTTCTCGACCACCATCTTTGCCTGCTTCAGATCGACGTGCAGGCCGTCAGCAAGGAGTTCGTCGATTTCTTCACGGACCGAGTGTCTTTGGTGCCGATTCTCGGTGAAGAAAGAGCTTCGGACTTCGCCAAGACCGCCATTTCTCACGCAGTGGGGAAAAATTACTTCGAGACGTGCCTGCGGCTCCTCCGATGTTCCGCGAACCCCATCGATCTCGATTACAGCCTCGCCATGCTGTCCAGGCCGTTTCACATCGATTCGAGCATTGTTTTCGACAAATTTTGCCAGAGCCTCAACCATCTCGAAATTGACGAAAACGACAAAAAGGTGATTATACTGTTAATAGCGGAGTTGAAAAAAATGAACCTGCGATATATAGAATTTTACAAATCGATTTTGAGGCTTGATTTTAATTCATACAACCCCTTGTTGTTGTGGTTTGTACTAAACTTCGACGAGGAGGAGATTGCAGAATACGACGAGGTCAAAACCTATTTCAGCCTCATGGCCAGGCTCAGTAAGACTTTACACGACGAGCTCACCCTGGATACAGACTGGGACTCGCAGGATTCAGAGGAGAGGGTCGTCGGAGTCTTAATAGCCGAATGCCTCGCTCTGATCAACTGCAAGTCCAAAGCTCTGATATGGTTGTCCTATTTGGAAAGGATAATCCGATCCGGCGATTTTGAAACGTTAGTCGATTTCGGGATTTGCCTTCACAACCTCTACCTCAACGAGAGACTCCCGGTTAACCGTAACCTCCTCTTCGTAGAACTCTACAGGAACAAATCTTACATAAAATATTTCTGGTGCTGCATAGCTAGCCTGCAGAGGGAAGGAACTTTCTCGGACCCGATACCGTTGACGAACCTGATCGTGAGGAATATCCCGCTGGAGAAAGCTGAAATAGAAAAGATCGTCCCGCTCCTGACGATATTCGCCGTATTGATGAAGTTCTCCTACTCGAACATGACTGAAGAGGAGTTGATGAACGACAATCTCTTGGGTGACAAGACGGACAAGCCTTTTCAGATCCAGGAGCTGGTCGCTCTGAGCAAGACCCTCGTCGACATAACGATGGGCGTCGTTCTCATCGCCTATCCCGAGACCTACTCCTGCACGAACATGATGTCGATGACTCAAAACTGCCAACTTTTCTGGTCCAACTTGCTGAAAGAACTGGTGAATATCATATCCCTGCTGCACGCGAAAGACGCGAGGAAAAGGTTCGCTGGGACCAACCACTGGCTATCGAACCAAATTAAGATAGCGGACCACGTGCAGATTTTCGACTCTACGAAAACGATATTCGTGAAGCCGTTTTCGAACAGGAAGGGCATGGCGAGGAACGACGACGGTCTGTACGTCCTGTCCGTTCAGGAAAGTAGGACTGTCTTCATCCTCCACTATTTGCCGTTCACGGTACCTTTCCTCAAGCGTTATTCATTTCTGCAGGCGCACTTCGAGGCGGACAAGCGCCAGCACAGAAATGAGCACATACTGCAGATACCGCATCGTTTCGTGAGGATCCGCCGCGACTACCTGTACGAGGACGCTTTCGACAACCTGTCCAAACACGACGAAGACATCAAGATCAGCGTCAAGATCCAAATGGTCAACTCGTATGGCCTGGAAGAAGCCGGCGTGGACGGTGGAGGCGTTTTCAGAGAATTCCTCACCGACCTGTTGAAGACAGCATTCGACCCGACGAGGGGTTTCTTTATTTACAACAACGACAACGAGTTGTATCCAAATCCTTCTGCGAAGCTCGTCTCCGCCAGATACACACGGCACTACCACTTCATCGGGAGGATCCTGGCCAAAGCGATTTTCGAAGGTGTCATGTCGGAAATACGCCTCGCTGAGTTTTTCCTCGCAAAGCTGACCGGCATCACGACCAACCTCCACCTCTCGAACCTCGCCTCTCTCGACCCGGAATTGTACAAAAACATCGTCAACTTACAAAAATACAAAGGTGACTTTTCCGACTTGGGCCTCGACTTCACGATATATACGAATGAGTTCGGCCGGAGCGTCTGCCGCGAGCTGAAGCCGAACGGGAGCAATATACAAGTTACTGCGGACAACGTGTCTGAGTACATCGACCTGATCGCCAAGTTCAAAATGCACAGCGAGATCCTCAAGCAGACAGAGTCGTTTGTCGAAGGCATCGCAAGCGTATTTTCGCTCGACTGCTTGAAAATGTTCACCCCGAAGGAACTGCAGACGATCATCTCGGGAGACGAGGCTCCCATCGACATAGACGACATGAGGAGGAATACAGTCTACGCTGGCGGCTTCTCCCCCGACCACCCTTCCGTCGTCATGTTCTGGAACGTAGTCGACTCTTTCGGCACGAAAGAGAAAAGCCAGCTCCTCAAGTTCATCACCAGTTACTCGAGGCCGCCCCTGCTCGGTTTCAAAGAGCTCCATCCGCAGATCTGCATCCAGCGGGCCGACGGCGAGAACGAACGGTTTCCGACTTCATCTACCTGCATGCACCTTCTCAAGCTTCCAGCCTTCTCCGACGAAGACATCATGCGGAAGAAACTGCTCTACGCCATCAAATCCGGCGCCGGTTTCGAACTGAGCTGACTTTCCTTTCAAAATATACCCTTATATCAAAAAAACCATCGCCTTATTAATAAATAGACTGTTCAGATAATAGATATTGACGTTCGTGCCTGGACCTCCGCACTCAATAGCGTAGTATTTAAGCCAGAAACAACCCAAAAACTTTGAAAGAGGAACGAGGGAAAAGACGCAGTTAAATGTTTATTCGTAGAAAAGTTACGAAACAGGACGTGCCGTTTTATCAGTTATCGGCCTAGCCACCTGAATCAGCATCGCCTCTAAGTAGGAAGAGAAATCGAATTTCTGAACTGTATAAACCGCGTTATCGCACTTGTTGATCCACAGCCACCTGGTTTAGTTTAAACACAACGGGGTCCGTCGGTACAAAGTGCTCACAAGTGTCGGTCAACATGACTCGTACGCCGTGGGAGGTTCGTCAAGGGGGCCCCAAGTGGATTAGCTCCGTTCTGTTTTGTGTTAGTCGAGGTTTTTTCCTCCCAGGATTAGCGTCTTTAAGCTGTTTCGGCGTTATTACTTTCCAAGTTCCAGAAGAAGAAAAAAAACCTTTTAAACCTGACTCTAAGAGGTCTCACTCTACAATATAACCAAAATTAGAAAACCGTCCGGATTTTCAATTTTGGTCTTGAAATTTTCAAAAACTCAGAAGCTGTTCGTCTGCTCGGCCGGTTTATTCCCCCCCTAACATAAACAGGAAGAGCGCCCAGTTTGTTTTTTAAGAAAATCGTAAGAGGGAAAAAATGTGACGGGAGTGGCCCGTGATTCCTCGTTCCTGATCCTTATCATGATGAGTGACAAGTGTTTTTACCGCCTAATTTTGTCTAGGACGGGCGGGGGAAAAAAAATCATTTCCCGCCGTCCATAATTTTTCTCTTCGGGATTCGGAACAACGATGACCCCGATGGTTCCATAATTTCTTCAATTTTCCTTCAAGACTTTTTTTTATTTATTACAATTTTAATTATTTCATCTTTAAAAACAATCGACATTTTCAAAAATAAAAACATTTATATAACGTTTTTTTATACGAGATTTTAGTTATAGTTTTATTTTCCAGATTGTGCTAATTACCGGGACAATAAGCGTCAAATCTCTTTTCTCGGTGTTTGTATACATTTTGTTGGAAAGCAGAACATGAAATGAGTACTCAGTTATGCATAATTGTGCGATACAATCCAAATGATTTCAAGAGGATTAACTTCCAGAAAATAACAAAAACAATAAGAGAGATTATCGATAATCGAAATTTAACTAGACGTAACTGAACGTTGAAACATTGATATGAGTGGCTGTTTCTTCCTCCTCATTACATAATCTGCAAATGGGACCATCGCTGTACATATCCATGTTGTGTAGATGTTTTCTCAGATGCAAGTGACCGTTTAGTAGTCCTACTACTCTTCTGAGTTTGGCCCTCTCCAATTGCAGCAGTGTTTTTGCTAGTCTTTACTGCCATAAGTTTACTATGTCTAGCACCGCTAGAGTTTATCCACTTCTCATTTTGTTTTGCTTGGATCCATTCTGCGATGGAGGATTCTATATTTGTTCTTGTTATCCCAAGAATAGGTTCGGGGCCTATGTATGGTCTTGCAGAGTCTACTCTGGCCAGACTATCTGCTTTCTCATTACCCAAAATTACCCTGGGCCCTGGCACCCAAGATATCATCAGGTTGTGTTTCCCCAGGTTTTGGAGATTTTGGACTGACTAATTTTGATGTGATTATTTTACATGCTAATGCTTTAATGGCTGCTTGGCTATCTGATCTTATGAGGATTTTTTTGTAAGTGTAACCTCTTTTAAGATTTTCCAGGGCACATGCATTGATGGCATGTATTTCTGCTTGAAAGACCGAAGTGTACTTCCCTAATGAGTTTGATTGCTTATGTTTTGGGCTTGTACAGAAAATGCCCGATCCGGTTTCTTCGTTTGTTTGGGAGCCGTCTGTATACCATATGCTCTCCTGTGTTCTTCCTCTCCTTTATAGTCCGTTGAGACTAGGTTACTGAACCCGCACCCCTCAGGCAACGGTTGCATCAGTAGGGGGTTCGTACCAACTCCCGGTTGGGCGATTAGTCCCACCTTAAAAATAAAACTGAACCACGGGAGTAGAGTGTCCAAGCGGCTTTACTAATTGAGGTTGGACTCGTGGTGGTCGTGGTTTGTAAACAAATTGTACCTTAGCTGCAGGGTACCGGCCAACCGGAGCCGGAGATAGAGTGCCTTCTCTATCTCTCCGGGGGTGGTGAAAGGCATGGCCAAAGGCTGTGGGGGCCCAGGCAAAGAACGACATCAACTCTGGTGCCTGGGGGTGACCAATGATGGAGGCAATTTCCCCTCTTACCTTCCTATACTCTATCCTCACCTTATTTTCCTTTCCCTTCCTTACCCCTTTCTGCTTTGGCAGAGGCTTCCTGGGTTGCTGAACCCGCACCCCTCAGGCAACGGGTGCATCAGTAGGGGGTTCGTATGAAGTCCCACCTTAAAAATAATACTGAACCACGGGAGTGGAGTATCCAAGCGGCTCTACTAATTGAGGTTGGACTTGTGGTGGTCGTGGTTTGCAAACAAATTGTACCTTAGCCGGAAGGTATCGGCCAACTGGTGCCGTAGAAAGAGCGCTTTATCTAGCTCTCCGGGGGTGGTGAAAGGCACGGCTGAAAGGCTCCGCCAGAAACCGTAAAACTGCCTTTTTCAAGGCACATATATGGATGCCATTTCATGGCACTTCTGAACTTGGTTAGCATTGCACCACCTCGCTAGCCAAGGGATGTGACAAGTCCATGCATGTCCTGGTGTTCTTTCGGAAACACTAGGCGTCTGAGAAGACCCCTTGAAGATAAGTCCGGATGTTAAAGCTCCTCATTGGTCTCAAAACCCATGAGTAAAGATGGGAACATCAGTCCGTTGATACTTTATAGGGTGTGCTGAAGAATGTTTTCGGGATCATATAGTCAGTCCCCATTTCTAAGAAGGGCTTTCTGATTTTTTAAAATTATTGTTTTATGCCTGAATTGATTAGTTCCTATCCAATTTGATTGTTTCTGGAACCTAAATGAGTTTTTCCTGGGCTCTCCTTTTACAGGGTGACTGGCGATAAGTCGATCCTATAAACCCCTGTCTCAACGGTAAAGAAGTAATTTCAGGTTTTGGTTTTTTTTTTCGACTTAGATTCGTTAAAATGCTTATAAACTTCAAAATTACTGACTGTACAAAAATCTGGTTGTGCCACCTGAAAGAACTGGTTTCGGGATCACAGAATGCAAAATTTCTTCATCTGAAATTACCTCTTTACCGATGAGATTTGGACAGGGGTTTATAGGAAGTTTTTTGTTGCATATCGTGAATAGAAATACATCCTAAAATTTTCGACACTTATCACCATTTATTTTCTGTAAAAATTGAAATCGATAGATTATGAAAAGAAGGTTAAGTATGTAATAATCGAAACTTTTTTTTCAAATATTTTTTTTTAACAATAAAGAGAACGAAGACAAAGTTATATATGAATCTTGACCTGAAATATTTCAGTAATGATGGATGGACTGTTTTCATTATTGATTGCTTTGATCTGGTGTGAGCCGTTCTTCTTGATTTACCTGATTCCTGTTTAAAACAATAATAATATATCTTTAATAATTTGTAAGATTTACAACATTGATATAATACAACATATTACATATTTTCACTAATTTCGTGGTCCGCTTGACCAATTAATATATTACAATTAATTAAGGTTTTTAGTTGAGATAAAAAAAGTCAATGGCACGAGCGGGATTCGAACCCACGATCTTCGGCTAGACACGCCGCTGCTCTACCACTTGAGCTATCGTAACCTCGATCCACTCGGACACCAACTTCCCATCTCAACCACACCTTTTAAATTTTCCCTCCTGTTTGCCATTTTTCAAATGTCGTGGGGGGACGAGTACTACCCTGAAACCTAAGTGCTAACCCTTTAGAACATGAATGGGAAAGAATTCCTCAGGAGTTACCAAGAAATGCGAAAGCTTTTAACGGATGTGATTCGTGGCAGAGGTGGAAATAAATATCTTATTTTTGGTAAGCATTATATGAATGTTAAATACTTTAAAATTTAAGGGTGGTGCGTTAATTTTGTCCTTCAGAGTAGATATGTATACATAGTTTTTTTAATTGATATCTATCTCTAATTCCCACGTATAAAAGTATAATAAAAAATATCGTTTTTTCAATTAGTTCTTATTTTTATTATATAGCAAGTTCTAGAAGAAGTGAGAATGATCACCTGTCAGATTCTCCAAAATATTGCAAATCGTCATCTCGATAGTCTAAAATGTAAAAGGGAGAGCGTCTGCAAATATTATTTATTAATGCTGACCGTTTACCACGAGATAAAAAATTAAACGAAGGTACTACCTGAAATCCGAGTTTACTCTGAAGGGATGATAGGACCGGTCGAAGAACCTAACCCTTGGAGGCTGGTAGTTAGTGGGTCCTTGGCTCCTCGCTTCCGCCCGAGCACGTTGTTCGTTGCCCCTCGGCCAGGAGGCGGTATTGCCTTCGCCTTGGTGCTGTCTGATCATGACGGCGACGAAGGACGTCGACTGGGCCCGGTTTATATACCTGACGACTCTGTGCGGACGGTGCACCCTGCAGAAGTTGCCAGAGGGCCTGTCGGCCTCAGTGAGCGAAATGCCGCAGAATATGCACTGATGGATGTTGAAGTCCGCCATTTCCTGTCGCTCGATCTCGTCGTAGTTTTCAGTTATCCCGATCCCAGGTAACATACTACAAAAATAAATTGTTCAATATTATACCCGGCTCCAAATGAAACCAAATAGGACAAGGCAAGTCATGGAGTTTAAGTCGATACAGATATGCAACTGATTGACACTTGACCACTCTTCTTACCCGCAAACATCCAGTGGAGTGATCAAGTATCAGTTTAATGAGTGGTCATGACTGATGATCAATCGAGGTTAAAGTAACCCTTCTACTGTCCAATAACGTCCAAAAGGGAGTAGTTAAAGATCCAAACGTGTGAATGTTAAAACAATCGTTTTTCCATTTTAGCAGTCTGTTTTGTTGATAATATAGTAGTCACCTAATTGGTCACCTTTTGTTTAAAACTCCATTTTTTAATAAAACACAACCTACCCTTGGTGGCGGACGTAAGTCGGTCCAGTGACGGGTTGTCCCGCAGGAAACTGATCTTCACGCCTGAAACGCCTGGCGTTGAACATAAACCAATGTTAAATAAAAAAGACAAACTATAGGTTTGAAACAGTCTACTCACAGTCTGACATGAGAGTATGGCTGATGGTGATATTGGTGGATAGGCTGGTGGATCTGGTAGTGAAACACGTCCTGTCTTCCTTGTGCCAAGGTCCCGGCGATCGGCCCGAGACTGTAGTTACTAACGGCATACGGCATAATCATTACCAAGCAAAAAAGCAATAAAATGCTTTTCATAAAGTTCATTTTACCTACAATTACCTCGGGTAATAAAATGCGAAAGGGTAGACGCTATATACCGGAACGTGTACTCTGGATCCACCCTGGCCCCAGCTGGCGTCTCTGAACAAATCAACAATTAAACATAAAATTTTATTGTGAAATTTTTCCTTAATACTTGCTGGGTTTTTATAGGTAACATTTTTTAAATCTTATTTAATTTTAGAAAACCATAAAAAAATAAATAAAGATATAACCAATGTTTGGTTTATTGATGGTATGATATTAAAATGCTTAGAGGTTTAGCTAGAAATGGTTAGCTATTAGAACGATTTTGGTGAAGTCATTTCAGCCCCCCACTAAGTCTATACCGACCTACACTTAAAGTAAACTAGATTGGGGTCGATGGGGTACTTTTATAAATATTCCGCCATCTACCCCGAACACACACTGACTCGCTTTCATCGATCGAGGGGCGATGATGACGTTATATTCACCCTCACCCCTCGCCATTCACGCTAATAAATACATGCACACAGACAAAACATATAGACACATAACACATAAGACATACTATATAAAATAAAAAAACCCAATTTCCCCTAAAAAGCGGAACAGGGGACTCTGAACTCGCTACCGTGCTCGAGAACTCTTCTTAAGCCCGGCGGCATGCCTACACGCTCTCTGTATGGAGCCAAGGCATGACACCCCTCTATTATGTGGGACACATCGAGCAACCTTTCTCTACATAAGGGGCCATATATTGGTTATTGTGGATTCAGATTGCTGTAGATGGGTATAAATTAGGTCCACCTTAATTAGGTTAAGTTATTTACATACGGTTATTCACTACCAGTACAGTTAAATGAAAGTGATGATTAAGAATAAGTAAGAGTGGTTTTATTCTGGATATCGATTAGAACCAGTTATACGCTAGATATTACGGTAATGGTCTGTATCTACTACTTATTAGCTATACAGACCACTAGATTCTGTTGAACGCTTTGTGGGTGTGTCTGCGCGCGCGCCTCTCTAACGAAATATAAGTCGTTAGGGTGTGTATAACCATAACAAGTTATTGATAGCATCTCTAACCCGCCATTATCGTGATTTGGGGTGCAACCATCCAGAACTAGCACTAACACCACTACCTATCGGGATATCTCGAATCTAACCATCCATAATTTATTAACCTGCCCAAACACTGTGATATCTAATGTAAAACCATCCCCAAATCTGTGCTGTTTCATAACCATAAAACTATCGTCATATCTAGTGTATGACCGTTCCTACCCATCCTTAACGATCTCTAACCAAAACTAAAAATCTTTAACCAAGTTTCAATTTCTGTTTACCCTAACAAAACGGATATCTAGATTGTAGCCATTTCTACCATACAACTATAGTTACTACTACTACTGTAGGTACTATCGCCTCTCCTATAGAGCCTAACAATGAATACCTTGAAATTCTGGACCGCAGAGGGATAAAGTGTCAGGGCTGAGTCCGACAGGGAAAAATTCGGAAAAACCGCCTGTGGCATAATCCAAGGAGGGCTAAAGGTCACAGATAAATTACGGAAAAGAAAATTGGATCACACGAGGCAGGAAAACTCAATACTACTGTGATAGAAAAGAATAAAGAGGCCAAATATCTAAGGGAGACACTAGACAAAACACTGGCATGAAGAAAGCGGAACGAGCTTTAATGGTGTCCAGAAAAATAGGAGAAAAAAGTTGGGGATGCAGATCATAAACCTTGCTTTGGATTTGGATGTACACCATGATGGTGAGACCTATTCTCACATATGGCGCATAGTATGGGTCGATATTAGAACAAATAACAACACGAAAAGAACACAAAAATTACAGAGACTTGCATAGAAGGAAGCGATAGGAACATGTCGTACAGATGGTGTGGAGAAGATACTGGGTTTAATCACCCTCCACCAAATGATAATGAGGACAGTGAAGAAATACCATCCGTTAACCTTGGCCACATGATGTTTAATCAACATTTCCAAATAAACTCAGGTACTTCAAAAAAGAATGAGTAAGAGAGAAAAACACCTCATTCAAGAATGACACTATCCACTGGAAATCTAGAACGCAAACAGGTACTATGGCAGGAGGAATCGACTGTGGAACAAAATATTCAGAACCCATGTGAAAATACACCAGTATCTTCCAAGCTGAGGCCCACGCCATCTAGAGATGTACCCAAATCAACCTGAATAAAGGTTACAAAAACAAGAATATCGTGTTCAAACACCATTAGCTCAAAGATGGTGCTGAGTTGCAAAACTAAACTAAACTAATTAAGTATGCAAAACAAAATAACACTCTACTGGTTGCCAGGATATGTGGGAGTAGAAGGCAACGAGAAAGCTGATGCCCTTGCAAGAAGAGGGGCTGCTATACCGCTGATAGGACCCGAGCCTTCCTGAGGCATAGGAATCTACAGTATCAATGATCTCCTTAGACTAAAGGATAAAAAGAAAACGAGGGAACAATGGAACTCACTCATTAGGCACAAACAGTCCAAGAACCTCATAACAAACTTTGGAAGGAAAGGAGTAACAGAATGCATTAAAGGAAGACGGAAAAAACTGCGAACCATAATAGGATTTTTAACAAGACACTGCAAATTAAATGGGCATCTGAAGAAGATTGGCTTAACCGAACACGGCAGGTGCAGATTCTGCAAAGAAGCAGAGAAAACACGAACACACCTACCATCAAGCTGTGGTGCTACACCCGCAGGAGGAAGTGATTTGGACGTACAATGGTAGAAGAGAGTCAACTACTAAAACTGGGCTTACAAACCAAGATTCTTGATGACTATGATTCATCGGTATGCTGTAACATATACACACATACAATTGCATAAAACCTGCCACCCAGCAACCTTGACAAAAATTTCGGAGACATCGTGAGATGAAGATGAGACGGTCAGATGCAGTTGCGTTATTTATAGGGGAACAGAGATGTCTACACTTGCGCGCAGATGGAAGTGTTTTGGGACGTATAGTGTAAGCGTAGAAGAGATTCAACCACTAAAACCGGGTCTACTGATCAAGTTCCTTGATGAACTAAGTCTCACCGGTGTGCTATAAGAGGCAGTACAACCTCTCTTAAAGGGGACAACACCCCAACTAACACGCCTACATCTACATCATTTAACCAACAACTGAGGATGGCGCAATGCTGAAACTGGCAAATTACAATAACTTGTGTTACAATAATGTATTTTGCAACGTTTTACCGATTAGGGTTAAGCTTACCGCATGTCATAGGCAAAGCGGTGAACCGCCGTTGTGCCTTGCTCGCTCGGGAGTTCTTCAGCATTCCTAAACAAACGTATTGTAAATTATTGTCTTTTTTCTGTTGATTTTAATTAGTTTATAACGCATTGGTCACCTGCGTTGGGGGGCGTTGGTGTTTCTTCGTCCCCCGTTGAACGGATCTTGCAAATTGCGATCCCTGTACGGACGCTCGATCGGGATTTCGTTCTCCCCTCGTACACCACCGTCGTCGTCAACGGCCGGAGTTTCGAAGAAGGGCACGTCCACTTCGGCAAAGTTTGAACCCTAAAAACATAAAACTATGAAACAGCTATAATTACATATTTAGTTAAGGTATTGTATTAGGGTATTAAGGCAGCGAGAATGTCAGTTTCGATGAAAGTCATACCTCGTTTTCTAGATTGATTTCCGGGCCGTTCGTCGGGACTTCCTCCTCCATTTCATCGCCGATATCAGACATACCAACTAACTCCTGAAGATCCAAACTTGCAGCACTATATGCTCTAAACATAAAATGAATTATTTCAATAAGACCTAGTTATAATTCGCCCACGCGTCCGAAACAACGCTTGGTATTGTCATACCCTTTAATAAAATAAATATTTGTTAAAACAATCTTCACCATCTTTAACCATTGCTGGCCTTACATTGCCATAACCAGGGCTTTCCCAAGGATGGAGAAAACGATTAACATGAAAAACTATTGTCAAGGGTTTTGGGTTTGGGTTTAAGGCTATGGAGAACATGGCCATAATAGATTTTGACGGTGAAAACAGACATCTCGCTAAAAATCCATATGACAGCTATTTACAGAAACTATGTACAAAGGATTAAAAATTAATGAGAGAGAGAGAGCGATGAGCCCCGCAGCCTTCAGTTGGGTCTTTTTCCACCCGTCTAATGACCTCTACGAAGATTGGAACCCTACATAGATTATCTGCAGGTCGATCAACGAACATCATATCTCTTAATCCCTTAACAACACCCATAACATCTTACCAATTTTTGCTCATTATTTTCACCCGGAAATTTCCTCACCTTCCTAGCTCCTACCGACCCATCAGTCTTTTGCCCATTATTGGCAAAATACTGGAAAAGCTCCTATTGATCCGCTTGTCCAAGGAAATTTCTACAACCACAATTCCCCATCACCAATTCGGCTTTCGGAGTTGCCACTCAGCTTTACAACAAGCGCATCGCATAATCGACGTTATTTCCACATCCCTTGAGCTAAAACAGTATTGCCCGGGTGTGTTCTTGGATATACACCAAGCCTTTGACCAAGTATGGCACTCTGGGCTGCTAAACAAGATAACACTCCCATCAGTACACATCAACAACGTTCCCATCCCAATTGCGAACCATGTACGATAGGACTCTACCTGGACAATCGACTGACGTGTGTGACGTCGGGCATTCGACGGCACGACAAACAAACATTCAACACTTCTTAACCGGGGATAATGATGGGTACTGGGAAATTAAAATGAAACAAATAAAACACACTCGCTAAAATAAACCAACTAAAACATAATGTATTTACAAGACATAAATTTATATATACAATTTAAACCAAAGTTACTACAAACGAAACCAAGACGTTCCCTAATTCCAGTCTACAACCACGTTACAGTGTAATCGCCCAACTCACCCTGTGGTAACCCAATTATGGTATTTTACGCTTAAGCAATCGTTGACGAGTCTGGAACACACCTGACCTCTCTTCTGCAGCTCCAGTCCAACATCTCCTCTCCTTCGACCTTCCCCCACCCAGCATTCCAACGCGCCCCATTACACAAACAGTGACATCCTCAAAAAGTGAGGGTGACACTACCTCCCTCTCAAGAGCCGCAAACGCCCCTTGGAGTTTGCGGGGTATTCCCACACCTGGAGAAAGGTCATTGCCGTGGTCGTGGTGCAGGTGCTGCTGTTTTAACTTCTTTCTTCACCTCTGTCTTTGGTGCTGGTTTTGCGGCAACAGTACTGGCCACCTTAGGTTTAGCCGCAGCAGGGGTGGCAGTTTTTGTCAGAAGGGCTTTTGTTGTCCCAGTGACAGATGTCTTAGTAACGGCAGATTTCACACTACCAGCCGGGTTTGTGGGCGCCTTTGATGTAGGTGTACTTGGTTTGCTGGGAGGCTTTGACAGGGGAGCCTTTGGCGTGGGTGTGGTGGAACCCCCATACACGACTTAAGCGCACAGACTGTAACATACATCAAAACTCTCACTAACAAACAAAAGAAAACTTTACATTGCCCTCCTGGCCCCCATTTGGACATACGAACTTGAACTTTACGGTACTGCTAAGCGTTCCAACCTCATCGAATCCAATCCCTTCAATCTAAAATCCTCAGAACAATAGTACAAGCCGCTTGGATCCATACCGACCTGAATGTCCCTCTTGTTACCGAGCTAGCCCAATCCCGCTACAAAACGTTCCATTCCAAACTACTCCATCATCCGAACCCTTTCGTCAAAAACCTGTCATCCACCACATTACCTAATAATCCCAACAGAAGACTGAAGCGTCGGTGACCCCGCGACAACCTTAGCAGGTGGCATCGGTCTCCTACAATGGAGTACATCTCGCTTATCGTATTGTTTAACTACTACTGGATGGTAATTGTTCAAGCTTTCACGCTACCGTTAATAATTTTATATGTAAATACTGTTTTACTTGTTGCGTCGAAGAATTTAGTTGTAAAAAACAAATTAAAAGTTTTAAAAAAATTTCACCCGGTCAGCATTGACCCCGGAGGACACTGGTTTTAAGAAACCAGCATAGACTGAACTTATCCTGCCGAGGATAAGTAAGACGAGTATATCACTAAGCCAACTTAAACTGCTCAAATTAACCGATATATTTTTGTTAGTTGGATAAAACAAAACAGAAAAAATAAACCAAAAACAAACCAATGTTTCTCATTTTTAATAACGGATTTACTTAACGATGATAAACATTGATAATATAATCATTCACATAATAATTTTGTAAATGAACTCCTTTTCTTGTCTTTTCTTCATTTTAATCCAGTTGTATTCTCTTTAACCGTCGAAAGACTTCATTTTGAACCAGAAGTCCGCAATATTATTGTGAGAATTCACTAATTTCGTGGTCCGCTTGAGCAATTAATATATTACAATTAATTAAGGTTTTTAGTTGAGATAAAAAAGTCAATGGCATGAGCGGGATTCGAACACACGATCTTCGGCTAGATACGCCGCTGTCTACCACTTGAGCTATCGTGACCTCGATCCATTGGGACACTAACTTCCCATCTCAACCCTCAAAACTCAAAAAGGTGGTGTTGAGATGGGAAGTTAGTGTCTGAGTGGATCGAGGTCCCGATAGCTCAAGTGGTAGAGAAGCGGCGTATCTAGCCGAAGATCGTGGGTTCGAATCCCGCTCGTGCCATTGACTTTTTTTATCTCAACTAAAAACCATAATTAATTATTGTGAGAGTGAGTCATCGACGTCACCGGCAAGGGGACATCGCAGAGGCTGTTTCTCAGACCGTGGTCTCCAGGGCTTTAGCCTGATTCCGAGAGACTGGAAGTACCAAAGCAGGCCTGGTAGTGCATCTCAGCGCACTATGGCACTAAGGGATGACAGAAATATTGTCAATATTGACTCCTTTCCATAATGCCCACCAGATCCTAAATGAAGAATAAGATGTTTTAGCAAGGCTTTATCAACACATACGATTATGGGAAGTTCACCTCACATCATATTGATTTGAGACAACCTACAGCAACTAAGGAGAATATGGTGAGAACACAATCGAAATGCTGTTACGTTTACTGACCACCCTTGCAAGAAAAGGGGCTGCCACACCGCTAATAGAACCCGAACCCTTCTGTGGAATAGGAATACACACTATTAGCGAATACCTCAGACAAAAGGGCAAAAAGAAAATGAGCGAACTTTGGAATTCACTTATTGGACATAGACAATCCAAGAATCTTCAAACCAATTTTGGCAAGAAAGAAATCANTAACAGGTGCTCAGAGGTTTTAGCTAACAGAGGACATTCGTAAAAAACAGAATAATTTCTAAATTTTAATGCAATATAATAAAAATAAAACAAAAATGCTAGGGAAAGTAAATACTACAGAATTGGCAATATATTCGTTTTTGAGCAGTTTAGTTAAAGGCCACGTGCTTCATTCTAGATGGGTGATAGTTAAGCGAACCTTGAGCGAACCATCTTACCTAAATAAGGTGAAATATTGGGCGGCCATTTTCGGCCACCCTTTTTAAAAATCTTCTACCCAAAAAACCAAAAACGAAAAACAACCAATTCTATAATCATTTCTGTTAAAACACCATCCCCTGAAGAAATTCATATCACACAACAATTTCACACAAAACCAATGACGCTACAAGAATAGTACCACACTTAATGCCCTGAAGATGACCAGAATAAAGGTCGAAACGCTGAAAAAAAATTTATAATCCACCTCATTTCTTGACCGCTCGTTACGAATCCAACAAATTCTTTAGATTACTTTTAAAAAAATCATTCCACACAGAAACCACTAGTAAGCATTGCTTTTATTTCAACTCAGCAGTTAAGCCTTTCGTCATAAGCCTGACTGATTCAAACCTTTCCAACTTTAAGCCAATAATTTTTTTTTTTTTTTTAATTTCCGATGAATATTACAGTCGATTGTAATGTGTTAGATGGGACGTTGGCGTCGAATTCCATCGAAAAATATAGAAAAGGGGGAATCGTTTTTATTCAACACAAAAGGATCCATGATTCATCATGAGATAAAATCTGAAAAGGTCAATAAACATCTGAGGTATTTCGCCAAGGTTTCATACACCGAAGGGACGATTTCTTCAAAAATACTTTATCTTTTTCTGTTGCGAATTTTTTTAGTTTTCAACCCTTTAAAAAGTTGCAGTTTACAGAAATGGGTTTTTCTTGATCAAAATCTAGTGGAAAGGTTTTGAACAAATTTGACTTTTGAGGGGCTGGTTTTCGTTCGAGTATTATGAAAATTTTGGATGGTTTTTTCAAATATACTTTTTTTGAGTTAATGGAGGGAGGATTATTGAACTACCCTTTGGATTATTTTTAATACGGATTGCTTTTGATCAACAATGATCATTTTTTTAGTTTATCTCATAAAAGTACACCTGTTGTTTTAAAGTATAATTAACCGTACTTACCTGAGTGGCTCTGTGAGAAGTTTAAGTTCTTTTCCCTAATCAAACTTTTTTTTATTGAATCAGACGAAATATCTTGGGATGATATTTGGCAAACTTATCGGACTTGATTGTGCAAGTAACGAGGGCTTCAGAGACTCCTGTTGAAATGGGCGAGGTTAGGTGAAAAGTCAGCCATCCCCGCTCCGTATCTAGACGCGCTCTATAATTTTATTGTTTGAAATTTGGTCGTTACAAGACTCGGTTAGCGTCCATCACCGGATGGAGAAATCTCATAATTAAACTTTATTATTTAATTTTAATACGCCTTACATTTTATTTTGTTTACCCCATTAACGAATAATTCATTTCGGTTCGAGTGAGCGCGATCTCAGGATTTCTCTTAGGCATTCTTTCCCCCCGGAATTTCTTACATTTTCTTCGTTTAAGTACAAAAAGAGAAAATTCTTTTTTCCCTTATACTCTTATAGTATCCCGCGCAAGGACCAAAAAAACCAAAGAACCAAAAAAATCTATTAGTGATGACGTTCCTTCTGGTGTTCTGGGCACTTGTGCTCCTTTTCTTAAGCGCGAGGATTATGGCAGCTTAAGTACCGTGTGGCGTTTCTTTGAGGTTTTTCTTTATTCTTTACTTTATTTCATTTGATTTGGGGTTTGCAAGAGCAGAGTTCATATCAACCCTTAGGGTAACGGTGTTTTTGAAAAAAAGCCCATTTGTATGTCGTGTTCGAATGCAGGGCCGCTGGACTCGAACCCGGGACCTTTACCTTACAGTGATGAGCGCCGTGTCAACGCCTAAACCATTGCGGCCAACGACGCCCCGTTTTATTATTTCATTTCATTTTTTATGGAACTCGACGAGACAAATTGCTAATAATTGTACAGAAAATCCCAGCAAAAACGAACAAAGATTCCAATAAAAATGAACTTAATAGTTTACTAGGTTTATTTTTATTGACAACTGATCTAAACTGTCGGTCACAGATAATACCAAAAAAGTATAGGTTTAAAACAATAAATATTAACATAAAAAAATAGGTAATATCGATTAATTGTACGCTTTGCGCACTTTTTTCCCAGCATTGAAAAAACTGTTAATAAATAGTATCGATTAAACTTGTTAGAATCAAAAAATCTATATCGGTGCTTCCGGTTTTACTTAATTTTTTACAATTAATTAAGGTTTTTAGTTGAGATAAAAAAGTCAATGGCACGAGCGGGATTCGAACCCACGACCTTCGGCTAAATCCGCCGCTGCTGTACCACTTGAGCTATCGTGACCTCGATCCACTCGGACACTAACTTCACATCTCAACCACACCTTTTGAATTTTCCCTCCTTTTTGCCATTTTTCAAATGTCGTATAATCTATTTGATTCTCGGCGACAAATGAAATGGCCACGGAGAGCTTTAGTGAAGGTATACTTCATTTTAAACTTATTAAATTCACTAGTTTTCGTGGTCCGCTTGACCAATTAATATCGTACAATTAATTAAGGTTTTTAGTTGAGATAAAAAAGTCAATGGCACGAGCGGGATTCGAACCCACGTTCTTCGGCTAAATCCGCCGCTGCTCTACCACTTGAGCTAAGTGACCTCGATCCCCTCGGACACCAACTTCCCATCTCAACCACACCTTTTGAATTTTCCCTCCTTTTTGCCATTTTTCAAATTTTTTTATCTCAACTAAAAACCTTAATTAATTGTAAGATATTAATTGGTCAAGCGGAACACGAAGCTAGTGTATTTAATTTTTTATTTTTATTACCTAAGTCCACCTCTCCTTCCTAAAAGGAAACTTGATCAGGGAAAAATTACTTATTGATATTTAAAATAACAGGAGTAGCAATAATAAACTAAATAACAATATAAGGATATATTTATTCAATAAAATAAATCTTATTATGTACAAAAAAAAAGAAGAAGGAAAATACTAAATTGAAGAGTAGAACTCAAAACTGACATACATGCATGTATAAATAAGCCAATTTTTGGTAACGCTAATGATAAAAAAATTAATAACTAAAATTAGGAATACTGTAAAATATTATACTTTTCATAGGTTTGAATAAAAAATAAAGAACATGTTTCTTAATTGAGACAATATCAAAAATATACAAATTTTTATATACTATATGTATATATATTTTTATGTACAGTTGCTTAATGTTTTTAAAAATATAAATTTGTGAGGCGGATTTTTATTGTGTGGATATTGTATTGTTTTAATTTTATTATTTTTTTATTCGAGCAACAAGGCACATAGTGAAGATTTGAGCGGTTTCTTTCTCACATGAAAGATAGTTGAGGGTGGAGTGACGACGAGCGTCTTGAGATTCTACAGAATGCGGAAGGAAGACAGGTCAGACGTAGTTGCCCCAGTGGTCCTGTGGCCTCTGCTGGTACTGGCAGCTCTGGTAGTACATCTGCGGGCTCCAGTAGGCCGGAGGTCCCGGCTGGTACACGGACGCCGCCATCCCCCTCGGCAAGGACATATCGCGTCCCTGGTCCAAATGCCTTGGAAACGCCACGTCCCCTTGCCTGAACTCTTGAGTTAGGACGTCCTCCTGTTCCCAGCCGGCGGCCGGAGGGTGCAGGTACTGCTCGAACTCGGCGCAGTCGACGCCTTCCACGTTGCCGAGCTCTTCGAGGCTCATCCCGGGGTTCACGACGCCCATCACTTCCTGTGAGCAAGTTGCTGCCATTTCTAAAAAGAAAAGACCATTAACTACCATCGAAGAAAAAGCAACTCCACGGAAAACATCAAATGTAATATCATCGACGATCAAGTCCATAAATACTTCAGTTGTAATCGAATAACAACGGTGTACCATTCGGATAACCTAAGTCAATCGATACATCTATACTCAACAGATGGATTTTTTCCTTAGACTGAAAGGCATCATCATCGATAAAGAAACAGCGATGCACCAGCAGTACTCAATACTACACGGTACGACGATTTTGTTAAAATAATGTACATATATTATCATATTTTATATATTTAACAATATTTGGGAAAAAATTCACTCCCTACGAGTTTAATGATTTTTTATCTGGGCACGCTTCGTGGAAAAAGATCGAATCATGTATATATAACCTAACCCGACATAACCTAACTCGTCCATAACCCTAACTCTAACCTAAGCTCCTAACACCAAATTGCCTAACCTGTCCCTAACACTAGCCCTAATACTAACACTATCAGCACTATCTAATATATTCAGCCCCTAACGGAAAGTTCTACCAATCGGATAATCTAAGTTCGATACTCTACAAACCGATTTATTATCGATATTGAACGAAAAATTGTCACTATTCTTTTTAAAGATAAGTAGCGAATGGGTTATATCACAGACTGTTCACTCGGTATGTATAGATTTTAATAAATAAATTTCTATCCATTGGATAACCTAGCAATTTTCACCTTCCAATCAGTGTTTTCAGAAAATGTCAATTATTTCAATCTGAAATAGAAACTATTATTATTATGCTATGATCAATGCTACAAGATCGGTATCCCAGTTGGAGTATCGAATACCTTATTATCGATTTATTCAAACATCGAAAAATAAATATCGATACGTCACATTTAATCAAATATCTTAAGTTCCCATCATACGGTAATACTAATGATAGATGGATTTGATATTTCTGTTTTTGATCGATTATCGAAGTTTTTCTACGAACAACTTTTAATTAATCGATTCATCGATACTTTTCTGATCGATTCTTGCTTGTTTTTTTAATTGTAAAATCTCAATTTTTTTGCTACTATTGATTATTGCGAATTGTTTGGCTTCGTAAAATTGAGATATTTTCCCTAATAACGATATAATTATCGAAAATTTTATATCGATCATGTTGATTGTAGAATGATCGATTCTTCTCTGATAATCGATACCTTCAGGACTAGTAATATCGAACCATCGATATTTAAGCTTACCGTTGGCATGCTGTTGCCCGTTGCTCTGGTACTGCTGCGCGTTCCTGAATGCAGTGACACCACCGTGTCTGTTTGGTGTCGTCGGCGGTGTCGGCGGCCCTAGCAGCTCGTCTTCGCCCTCCTCGGCACCGCTGGAACACTCTTCCTTTACCCTGCCCATCATCCTGGAACGGTTAAACGTTCTTCAACTGTTGTTTAGTTGTGAAAAAAATTGTTTTTACTCACGCGTATGAGCCGGTCGATCCTCTCTGGTTGGCCGGCTTGCCGTTCGACGAGCCCTTCCTCCTCCTAGGTTGGTATTTGTAGTCTGGGTACTCTCTTTTGTGTATCACCCTCAGCCTCTCCGCCTCCTCGATAAAGGGCTTTTTTTCAGCGTCACCCAACAACCTGCAACAGTTTAAAATTCGAAAATATTACAAAATTTAGCCAAGGGTCAAAATCGATGACCAAAGGATACATGATATGTCAAACTTCTTACCTGGCAATAAAGCTGTACATTTGTTTGAATAATAAACCAAACCCTTAGATTCATTACTTATGTGGAAAACATGGTTTCTTTTTGTCCTTTCTATTCATCTTTATTTTAATGACATGACCGGCAGAACTCGAGAATATGGGCAAAGTTGTTAAAGGTTTTTCTACGTTCATTATATAAATGTGAAGTTGTTTATTGAAAAAAGTAAAAGTTTGTGCTTTAACAATATTGAAGCTGGAGTTGATGATGGGTTTTGGTCTGCGAGTCGGTGAACTCATGCTGAACCGCATAGGGTCACTCGCGGGTTCGTTGAGTGATTCAAAAACGTTTCGGCATTGCGCCATCTTCAGTGAGGAACTCAGGAGTCTCCCTTTTCAACGAGAGACATACTCAATAATCCTATGCCGGTTCAGCATGAGTTAACTTAACGAAGTTTTTAATATAATCATTATGTAAGTTATTGGTTGAAATGAAAAAGTTAGTGTCACGAGCGGGATTCGAACCCACGACCTTCGGCTCAATACGCCGCTGCTCGAATCACTTGATCGTTACTTCGATCCACTCGGACATTAACCTCCCATCTCAACCTACCTTTCGAATTTCCCTACTTTTTGCCACTTTTCAATGAATTTGCCAAGAATCGAATCCTGATTTCACGACATTTTAAAAATGGCAAAAAGAAGTAAAATGTGAGATGTAGGTTGAGATGGAGAGTTGGTGACCGAGAGGATCGAAGTCAGGATAGCTCAAGTGTTAGAGCAGCGGCGTATTGAGCCGAAGATCGTGGGTTCGAATCCCGCTCGTGACACTGACTTTTTATCTGAACTAAAAACCTTAATTAAATCGTTTTTGAATGTTGTTTACACAAAAAAAGCTTTTCGCGAATTTTTTATTAGAAGGAAAATTTATGACGATAAAATTTTAAAATACCCGCCAACCGGTAGGACGCGTAACAAAAGAGGGAAGAGAGAAGAAAAAGAGAAGAAGAGCCAGACTGAATCGAGTTTTCGAAAGGGACAATTTGGACGTAAGCCGAAGATTTAAAAAACAAAAACGAACATAAGAAGAAGCCAAAAAGAAGAAAGGAAAAGCCATCAATATTTGCCTCTAAAAAAAGTATTTTTGTTGTTTTGTTACGAGATAAAAAAGTCAGTGTCACGAGCGGGATTCGAACCCACGACCTTCGGCTCAATACGCCACGCTCTAACCACGTGATCGTTACTTCGATCCACTCGGACATAACTTCCCATCTCAACCTACCTTTCGAATTTCCCTCCTTTTTGCCACTTTTCAATGAATTTGCCGAGAATCGAATCCTGATTACACGAAATTTTAAAAATGGCAAAAAAAGAGTTGGTGTCCGAGTGGATGGAAGTCACGATAGCTCAAGTGGTAGAGCAGTGGCGTATTGAGCCGAAAATCGAGGGTTCGAATCCCGCTCGTGACACTGACTTTTTATCTCAACTAAAAACCTTAATTAAATAGTTTTTGAATGTTGTTTGCACAAAAAAAGCTTTTCGCGAATTTTTTATTAGAAGGAAAATTTATGACGATAAAATTTAAAATACCCAGTAGGAGGCGTAACAACAGAGGGAAGAGAGAAGAAAAAGAGAAGAAGAACTGAATGGAGTTTTCGAAAGGGACAATTTGGACGTAAGCCGAAGATTAAAAAAACAAAAACGAACGTAAGAAGAAGCCAAATATTTCCCTCTAAAAAAAAGTATTTTTGTTGTTTTGTTACGAGATAAAAAAGTCAGTGTCACGAGCGGGATTCGAACCCACGACCTTCGGCTCAACACGCCGCACCTCTAACCACTTGAGCTATTGTGACACCTATCACAACTGTCACAATAGAGCTGCGGCAAGACAGTGACTTTTTCATTTCAACAAATACCTTACATAAAAATTATTTAATTGAAAGAAGTTATTTGGTCAGTCGGACCACGAAATATAATGGTTTTTAATATATTGTAACAAATAGGTAAATGTTTAATTTTTTAATTAAATTTTTTATAAGTCATTCACAGCATAATAAAAGTGCAGATACGTTTCTTAAATAATTTTTATCACGATTTATAATGCGATGGAGAGAGATTAAGAGAGATGGGGTGAGATTGAAAACGAAGGATGGGAAATCGAGACTGTGTGAGGTACTTTTTTTTGGTCGGGGGGTAGGACAAAAATTTGCCCACTACCCAGTTTCGTTGTTTGCTAAAGTTTCCAATTCCAGCAAATCTGTTTACCGAGGGAGTACCTACTGACGCAACAGCGACGCCGTTCAAACAGTGAGTAAATCACTTGTCGCTCGTTAACGTCTCTCGTCAGTCGTGGAGGTTCAATCTCTTCTCGGCTTGCCTATTCAATTAGCGCCCGCGAGGCCGTACGGACCGTGAGAATCCTCGTCGCCGGGCTACCGGGTTTCGCCGACTTTCGACGGATCGGATCGAATAGATAGCACAGTTGTTGACTTAGGTGGCCCGTGCCTCCTTCACCTGCCGTTTACCCAGGTGGATTGGGTCTTATCGGGCCAACACTTCCTTTCCACGTGGGAAACACTATGAGGCAAAATCGGATCAAGACCGAAAAGAAGTCCTGCATACCGCAAAGGCGAGAGTCGGCGTCCTTTTTGACGATACTGCAGCTATTCGCTTCGTCATTGATTTTTCTACAACTTGACGTCGGCTTCCGATAAGAGACGCCTACAAAACGAAAAAAAAGCGTCGTGCGATTTAAACCATGGGGACAGCCCTTGGGGCTATTGAAAAAAATCAATCTCTTTAACTTTGGCTGTATAAGCTGAGAGGTCATTCGTGCAACAAAATTGTAAATAATAACAATTAAATTTATTATTAGAAAACCATATCTACAACCTACCATATCCTTAAGTAATTAACAATGTATAACAACTCTTATCCACTCTTAATCCCCCTAAATCCCCTAACTAACTATGGTTAGTTACCTGCCGTCCCTTAATGACCGTCACTAGCTCCACCTAACCACCCTAAATATCCGCTGTCCGTTTCTAATCATACGTGATCATCCCTACACACCATTTATTTTTCACCATCCCTAATCATTGCGTAAATAATTGAACAACGTTCGTCAATATTTTTCTAGGATGAAAAATTGAATAGTAAATTAAAAGAGTTCAAGAAAATGTCTTCTTATTCTTTTCACCGAGAATAACCTCTATGGATGTTTTCATATTGAAAATGCACCGGGTCGTGGAAAATAAACGAGTCTGCACCTTGTTATCGTCCCTTTTACCGATACAGTGGAAATGGAAATGTCTAAACTGTGGAAGAAGCATTCGCCAACGACAGATAAAAATCAAACGGGTATTTGCGGCTTATCTGGATTTTTCCCGTGGGACTCATTTGCCTGCCCAAGAGTGAATCGGTCGTTGTTATCTCTTATTTGTATTGCCTTCGAAAAGGTGGGGGGAAAAAGTCAAAAATTGTCTCACCTCCAAAGTTTGCCGAGAGTCTTACTCAGCTCTGCGTTGTGCAGCTGCGGGTACTGGTCGGCCAGCTTCCTCCTGGCAGCTTGTGCCCAGACCATGAAAGCGTTCATCGGCCGTTTCACGTGCGTCTTCTTCTTGTCTGAAGTCGTCCTGGAACAAAACATTTTTAAAAAATCAAAATTTCTCAACGGCGTTTTTAAACCAGACAGTCCTAGAACCAGATAGATAATCTCTGGCCTTAATCTGTCAGGTTTTTCACCTTAACACACGGGCTGATTAGAAGCTGATAAGAAATGGCAATAAAAACAATAGATAGTCGATTTGCTTTTAATTCCATTCAAGGTTTGGCCATGATAATTTTTCAAATTATGATTTTTTTCAATTTTTCCATTATCATTTATTGTCTCCACTCAAAAAGCAGTCAATTATAAATTTAATTAAAATTCTGTAATTAACGAATTACATTTATCAGTGAGGAACGCCGGGGGATTAGAATAATTTAATTTTTCTGAAATGTTATATTTTTACATTTTGCAATCGTTTTTGAAAGAAAAAGTCGATTGCTACCAAAGCTCAAGTGATTTGATTTATAGTTTTTTTTATATGTTCTCGAACTTTGGTTGTGTGTATCGTTTATTGTTGGGTGTTTTGTTATTTATTTGTGCTGTAGTTTGTTTATCCGAATCTACGCGTTTATTGCTGTCTGTATATACGATTTATATTTTTTTTTTTTTTTTTGTATACGGGTTGGTGTGTTTGTTTGTGGCTTGTGATAGTGTTAAAATTTTCGCCAATTTTAAAAACATCGCCAGACTAGTCAAAACACAATCAGTCCCAGGCGATTACAACACAATGCAATCGGTAAAATTGAAGAATTATATTTTTTTTTAAATTGGCTTCCGACATACACGTCCCTTTGTCTGTTTCGCGCTTCCGCAGAACGAAGCGAAACTCGGCGGACCCCTTTCGTCCACGAGATAATAAATATAACGTTGCTTGAATGATGAGTATACATTTATTTATATATACATACGGATAACCTTTTACAAAGAATATAAATCACGGGTTTATAAACAATTTAAGCAGCAGATAAACAAAATTGATAAAATAACAAGTATCACAACTCATTTTTTTGCGGTGATTAGTGACAGTTAATCGATATTAATTTAGAAATCGTGAGATGCGGTCTGGTGTGATGTAGGTTTCAGAAAAACATTTTCTTTATCGTGCCAACGTTTCGATCTTTACTGAGATCATCTTCAGAGCCTGGGATTTACAAACATTGTTTACATATAACAATTACACATCAAAAATGTAATTGTTATATGTAAACAATTTGTAAATCCCAGGCTCTGAAGATGATCTCAATAAAGATCGAAACGTTGGCACGATAAAGAAAATGTTTTTCTGAAACCTACATCACACCAGACCGTATCTCACGATTTCTAAATAAATATTTTTTTATTTTATTTGCACTTCTATCTTATGGAATCTCATTATACATCATTGTTCATGTAAATTCAAAGGGCTTTTAATTCCAGCAGATTTTATTTATTTAGACGCCAAGAAAGAAAGAAAAAAATGAGGGGCGGTCAGGAAGTGGCGCTATTCCACACTTTATGTGAGTATGAAATTCCCGGTTCAAAATTTATACTTTTTACATTTTGTTTTCCAATCAACATATCATTTGTAATTCATACAGGTCCTTAAGATGACCCGAATAAAGGTCTAATCATCGCGGAAAACCAATGAAAAAGGTGTTTTTTTACATATTTTTAATCTAAGGTCATGGTTGGTATGAAAAAGGTAATGTCGCGAGCGGGATTCGAACCCACGACCTTGGGGACCGCGGTAGCCGAGTGGTTAGCATGAGAGACTCTCACGCCGCGGTCGTGGGTTCGATTCCCACCGTCGCCTCTGGCCCTTTTTTCCCGATAACCCCCAATTGAACACACAAAAATTCGTACCATGGCTAATATGCAAGATCATAAGGCCAATAAAAAAAAATAAAAAAACCCACGACCTTCGGCTCAATACCCCGCTGCTGTAACCACTTGAGCATGATAAGTGGTTGAGCCGAAGGTCGTCGGTTCGAATCCCGCTCGTGCCACTTGATTTTTCATCTCAATCAAGACCTTAGATTAAAAGTATAATTAATTAAAATAGTAACAACGACAAATATATTTATACACAACTATATTTATTGCTTATTCTATAAAATTATTGCGTTTAATTTGTGTTTAAGTGTATTAAAATTTAGATGAAAAAAATCAATATTTGGACATACATTATTTTTTTCTTGCATAATTATATTTATCTGTGAATATGTAATTTGTTTTACAAAGGGGGTAAAAAATAGATGAAAGCCTGGTAGGATGTACTGGGACATTGAAAGAATATAATAATAACAAAAACAAAATGAATATGGAGTCAGAACAATTTAGTAGCCTATAAAGCAATAATAGATCAAAAAACGCCTTCTGTCAGCGTTGGAAGATTAAAGGGAGGAGAAGACAATTCTGAGGATGAAAAAAGAGGATATCGAAAATAAAGGATTCTAATAAATTATTTTGAACTTTATCTTTTCAGAATGAGAGGAAAATTGTGCTTTCCAACCAACTCTAGAAAATTTTAGGATAGGACGAATGAAAATTTTGTACAATTTCAATGAAGAATTTGAATTATGAAAATAATTAGACTGAGTACCCAAGTCTTTGACAGAAGATAATTTGTATTGAAAAAAAAATTTATATAGAATGGGATTGGAAGAACGATTAAAGAAATTTACTGAGTATTTAATTATATTTAAATTTAACCAGTTAGGGGACCGCGGTAGCCGAGTGGTTAGCATGAGAGACTCTCACGCCGCGGTCGTGGGTTCGATTCCCACCGTCGCCTCTGGCCCTTTTTTCACAATACCCCCCCCCCCCCAATTTGAACACACATATACGAATTGTCACATGGCTAATATGCATAGTTCATAACGCCAAAACAAAACAAAAAAAAAAAATTTAACCAGTTAATTTGACATTAGAAAACTAAGTTTATCGATAGGTTGCTGCAAAAGAAATCTCGTGTTGATTGAATAGAGAGGACAATTTTAATATCATCACATGATGAACTTAAGGTCGTTTATAAAGATTAAAAATAACAAAGGGCCCAAATGTAATCCCTGTCGGACTCCAGATGTATCTGTTTTATTAATTTAAATTTAATTTAATTTAAATTATTTCTTCACTACTTTCGTGGTCCGCTTGACCAATTAATACATGACAATTAATTAAGGTTTTTAGTTGAGATGAAAAAAAGTTAATGACACGAGAGGGATTCGAACCCACGACCTTCGGCTAGATACGCCGCTGCTCCACCACCTGAGCTATCGTGACCTCGATCCACTCGGACATCAACTCCCCATCTCATAACTCATAAGGGAAAACTCATAAGGTGGGGTTGAGATGGGGAGTTGATGTCCGAGTGGATCGAGGCCACGATAGCTCAGGTGGTAGAGCAGCGGCGTATCTAGCCGAAGGTCGTGGGTTCGAATCTCTCTCGTGCCATTAACTTTTTTTTCATGTCAACTAAAAACCTTAATTAATTGTCTTAAATTATTTCTCTTTTACAATCTGAGTTCTACTGGTTATATGTAGCCAATTTAGCAAATAGCCATGTACTACAGAACATTTTAATTTAGAAACCAAAACGCAATGATCAACTGTGTCATTGCTTTGGAGAAGTCTGTGTAGACCGAGTCAACCTGAAAGAGAAAAGGTTCCTTGACCAAGAAAAAGACCCCCTCTCATTGGCGCATATTTACACATAGTCAACTCACGTCAAAAAAAATATATACGGACAGCCTACATCACAAGTTGGTCTATGCGGTCTACAGCTGTAAAAAAATGGCCATTATTTAAGAGATTATAACGTGGTACCCTGCATATATGACCAATTCTCTGAGGACATCTTAGATCCTTGTGCCCTTCTCCATATGTGATTACAGATGGTTTTGCCAAGGGTTGATGCGCTTGGTACGATATCCAGAGAAAAATGAATATAAAATACAAACTGAATCTATATTCTATCTTACAGCCAGATTGCTCCTATATGGTGTCCAAAATTATAGAACTCAGCCAGAGGCTACTAGGGCGGCAAGTCGAAAGCATCTTCTGTTGGATTGGGCCATGGAAGAGTCCAAGGCAATGAGCTTGTGGACAGCATGACAAGGCAAGCTGTGAAAAAAGGGCAAAACTTACAATCCCCCAATGGAGGAGTTCAATGGCAGTTTGAAAAAGGACGCATATGACACGTGGAATAAGCAACCAGACTCCTACTCCTCTGGTTTTACCGGGACATAAACTCAGACAGTAGTCATCAGGAGACAGTGGTCCTGTTCATTTAACTTTCCAATGCCTAAAAAAGAGTGCACTAGAAAAAACAGAATCGGGTTTGACGGAATAAATGGAACATATTTGAAGAAAATAAGGCAAGACGGGGGGGGGGTGACCTATGTTTAGTATGTGAAGAGAAGACAGCCTGGAATATCTCAAAATGTAAAAGTGTAATAATGAAAGAACGAAGATTTTGGACAGGCTGTACATAATTGGAAAGTTGATCAAGCCGTTTAATTACAAATCCGTACTGCAATTAAATGATTTAGAAGTGTAAATGCAGTTTTGGATTTTCTAACGACTACGGTCTTAAAAATCTGATCAGAAAAGTGAACATATCTGTTTTAAAAGATAATTCCCTCTCACAGTAGTTGTTTTCAACGATCCGAATTTCTAACCTAGAGATCATCATCAGGTTGAAGGAGTTTTACAACCTGATGATGTGCTGCAGGCTCGAAATCCGTATCGTTGAAAACAACTTACTGTGAGTAGGAACTGTCATTTTAAAAAGATTGTACAACACACTCACTCCACCATTTATCATTTCTAGAGAAACATATTGTCTCTTGAGCCAATTGCTAAAGAAGCAAAGGAAAAAACCCTGAACGTCATTGCATCAGGAGAATATAATTTTGATATGGCCTACTGATTGCAAAGTAGGTTACTGGTAATAAAACCTCTGGACATGAAGCCGTTCTGGAATAATTTTATAATGAAAATCACGTGATAAATTATGGCAAACACAATACGCATTTTTTGAAAATG